CCCCCGCCTGTATGGGCAGAGGACTCTGTGTTCTCAATCCCTTTTTCTTTCTGTTTAGACCCCTGATATTTTCCCGAAGCCCCTACAGTAATAATAATAATAATAATAATAAAAAATACAGATTTAACTATAACTTACAAATATGATTTTTTTAGGTAAAAAACACTGCGTTTAGCATTAACCTTTCTCCTTCTCTCTCAATAAATGACAAAGCATTGTAAATGTCAGGACTGGATAGACAGAAATACAAATCCATTGCAGGTAAAAGAGCTGTCATATATGTATTTCATACTTGATTTCATCTGTCAGCCATTAGCTCAGCTTTTGGAATTACTTTTTAAAAATAAAAGTAAAAATTTTCAACATTAAAATAATTTCATATTTATAATTAGCAGTATTTAATCTATTAGCTGATATTTTTTGGGCCTAGAGATCATCTTTAACGTCTCCATTATAAAGAAATGCTGCAAATCAAGATAAGCACCCAATATGTATGATACCTGGCAAAACAAATGCAAAATAAAATAACACTAACATTAAACATTAAGTAAAAAATACACATAAAAAGTAAGTTAGCAAAAAAATCAAATGAGAGTGTCCCGCTAAAACTCCCTTTATATGTACCTATGATAAAAGCCACAACACATTAAGTAACAACATAGCATCAGGGAGAATGATGAACCCGAGTATTGTTCTGCATCTTCCAGCAGTCTCATCTATCATCTATTTTTCAAGCCTTCACTTTTCTAATGCTCAGCTGAACGGCGGAGACTGTGACTCAGTACCTGCTGACTTTTTCGCTGTTCAGCTTTCATACACTTGAGATTGCTTTCCATGAAACCAAAAAGGGTGACTCATTCTGTCTCTAATGGGCCAGTACAATGAAATGTAAATTTAGAAATTAAAAAATTGCTCGAAGCCTCATGCACGTTTGCTGCACTTAATTTCCAACCTATTTTACCATATTGAGCAAGGAATGCTTGACTGGTTCGCCTCCTTGGAGACAGACATTCCCAGTCATGTTGTATTCTAAAAAAGATGCTGTCTGTTTACTGGATTGGTTTAACACTGTAAGTTTTAAAGCACAGTTCCAGACAGCTGCTATATAAGAACGCTTAAAGGGGACCTGAACTGTGAAAGCTGCACCCAAACAAAGCATACAGAGGACAAAGGATTAGTCACCAGCATTGCCTGTAGGAGCCCTACTAATGATCTTTTCCCCAATACTGACTTACCGTGCTTTGTTCTGCACTTTGTCTCTGTGTGTGGAGGTGGTCATCTTGGTAGAGGCCAGGCTTTGCTCCCTCCTATCAGAGCTGCCTCCCGATGAGTGGTGATCTGATGACTGGTGGACGTAATGAAGAAGCAGCAGTAGAGATGAAGGAAGCAAAGATGGACAAAATACATGCAGCAGAAGCAGAGAGATGCTTGCACTGCAGGTCCCCAGATACAGTTTTCTCTCCAGCATGAAGAACAGCGAGCAGCTGACCTCAAATCTCACCCTATATCTTATAAAGCTAGCAGTCAAAGGTACTGCTATTTTTCAGGAGAAATTCAAGACAAGGGGTATTTTTTTTCTTAGGCACAATTAACATTTCTAGATGTTCCCTATAAGGTCCAATGCACATGGGCCTCTTGCATTAAACAGAGGAGCGGATATCTTGGAAGTATAAACAACTTTTATGTTTCCGAATCACTATTTCCTGTGTTTAGATATTCCAGTGTATAGCCACATATAGACGCATTTGCACGCGATTACACACATTAAGCTGCGTAAAACCAGGCTATACAGTCCCAGGATGCAGAAATCTCTTGTTTTAACGTTATGCTCTATGGATTCCTGTACTAGGTAAAATTGCCAATCCCGTATGAGGGTGTATTAGGTTCTTTTTCTTTTCTAGGTGAATGATGTACAGGGTGTCGGGCAGATTTAACTGTTATATTGTAACATTGAGCCATATAGCAAAGGCAATCTCTTCATTTTCTTCTGACTAAAAGAAAAAAGGCTTCACAAAATGCCATCTCCATTTGTAATACAGCAGGTCAAGAGAGTATTAGGCCCCTTTTATACTCACTTGCTTTAAAGTATGTATACATGTAAACTAAAGTATCTCTTGCAAAGAAGATAGTAAAGACTAACCTCCCCCACAGATGTCGGCTACACTGATTACATTTAAGACACTTGAAAACACATGTGATATACATTTGATTTGCATATCATTATCTCTGTATGCAATGACCAAAATAACAAATACAGCTCAAATTAGAATATCATGCAGACAGTGCTTTAATACCTTTCATTGTAGGTGTTGTACGTGACACTTTTTTCCTCTGATGTGGGGACATAGATAATGTCGACTGTAAGAAGAGACAGGAGATATTCTTACTGAAATATATCACTGACGGTGGCAGCAAAAAGCAGCATATAGATTTAACACATAGCATACGTAGATGTCATTCCTCACAACCCCAAAACTAAATTCTAACCATAACCTACCGTAATATCCAATACTTCTTCTGTGTTCCTCTTGATTTCTGTTTAATACTCATTACTGGTAAACTGGCATTAACACACATGTATACTTATTATTATTATTATTATATACCTGTATATATTATCAGTATGGTAACATAATTCTAACAAATACACTAAAAAGTTAAGAAGTCAAAAGTTCGGTTGTTAAAGTTGGATGCTAGTATTGTATGGCCATCACTTAAAAAAATCTAATTGTGTTTTGTTAAAAGAGTACTAAAGCCAAACCTTTTTATGGGGTATAGTCCTCTTTTGGGTCAAAGAAGTATATTTACTAATGTGTTCCTGTGACCCAAACCCAGCATCTGAGCCACGCTGTAGCCAGGAAATTTCCAAAAATATTGTCAGGATCCACCTCACAGCCTGATTGACAGTTGGCCTCTCTAGAGCCAGGACAAGCTGTGCCCGCCCCTCCCCTGTCTGTCCTCCCAATGAGGAGGAGGAACAGAGAGGATGGGAGAATCCTTGCAGGAAGCAGTGACTGACGGTCTTTACTCTCTGCAGGGAGAAGACCATGAGCTGAGAGACCAGCAGTTCATGATCGCACAGCTCTCGATCTGTAGAGCCAACTTGTGATACCTGCAGTGTCCCACGCCAGCTCTAAGTATTGAGAAGAGTACATTTTACTCTCCCAATACTTCTCCTTTAAAACAGACTTATCATTGACTCTAGCCTAAAAACCCCCCCAGCAATGACATGGATGTGCAACATCCAGGTGGCCAACAAAATAGTCCCTCCCTCACCTGACCTTGTCTCCCGTAAAGATCTTCTGCCTCTCATCGAGCTACAGGAGAGGCAGCGGAATCACCTCTGCCCCATCATTTTAGTGAACTTATAAAGATAGGGTGATCATTATCTTAGTCTTTTAGATCTATCTACTAAAGGCTGGCCTTACATATTAAGATTAAAACTCTTTCAATTCCCCCATCCACGCTGTTTGAATCTTCTCTGCTGGCAATTGTATACTGACAGCTGAAATCTGTGGCTCCCAGAATACTGGAACAGTGACTGCAGATGATTGGCTGACATCACTGTTTGCCTGACAATTTTCCACCGGGTTTCTTCAAAAAAAGTCAATTGAAAAATAGATTTTTGCTGTGCTGGGTGGTGTTGGCAGGGCCACCCATGGACTGAATTTTCCCCATTAAAGAAATGGCCAAAATTCAATCCCTGTAAGTCCAGTTTAAGGTGTTCAATGGCTTGTATCTGGCTAGATCCGATCACTCTTTTTAAGCACACCTACCCATGCACAGTCAGAATAATCAGACCTGGGAAAAGACTGGCATCAGACAAAAAGTGAAGCAGTCACATGATTGCAAATAGATGTGACAACAAGAGGCTACTTAGAACTTATAATTAAATCATATTTAAAGTGACAGTCATCCTAAAACTGATACCTCAGCCTTGGAAATATTCATTTGAGTTGAATCAACGTCCAACGTGTCATATATCTTTCATGGATACAGAAATACATAACATAAGTACAAGTATATAGACAAAACTCACAAAGCAGCCTCCGCTCATATTCCCTGACCTGTGGTCACACAGCTCCATCCCTCTTTTCAGTGCCGGCAAGAAAAGTATGCTGCAGCTTGAAACTGGTTCTCGCAGAAACAATTGTCACACAAACGACTCTGAGTTAGAGGAGCCTGTGTTTGTTTACAGCATGTTTTGACTTCGGGAATAAACATTGACCAGCGTGTGCGGCAATTGTTTCTGCGAGAATAAGTACAAGTATCTCTGCTCCAATGACCAGCTCTGCCTAACTGCCAAGACCCCCGAAAGACATTTCAGTTTTTCTTCTGGATTTTGGTCATCTATTCTGTAGCACAGATATTGTAGCAGAAGGAGTCAACTTCTCTATGTTGTAGCCTGAAGTCTGAAACTTCATGGTAAGAAGTTACAAATTTAAGAAGGGAGATCTTAATTTGAAACTCTGATAGATATATGAAAGCAGGGGCTGATTATTATTAATAATATTTATACCTTTGTAGTAGGGATGCACCAATACTGGTTTATCGGTATCGTGTACAAGTACCGATATTTATATTTCGGTACTCGCCATTACTGAGTACCAATACCGGTACTCCGGCTAGCATGGAGCCAGCTTCCCGGGCAATCGGGAAGCCGAGCGGCATGTCATTACCCGCCCCCGGCTTCCTGAATGACCGGGAAGCCGGCTCTATGCTGTTTGACCGGCTCAATGCTGATTCGCAGGGAAGCCCGGTTTCCACCCCAATCGGACGGAGGCGGTATGACACAACAGTAAATGCACATAATACAACAGTACACGCACATTACACAAACAGTACACCCATAATACAACAGTACACACACATAACACAACAGTACACGCACATAATACAACAGTACACGCACATTACACAAACAGTACACACACAATACAACAGTACACACTAGGAATGCATTGATACTAGTATCGGTATCAGTGCCAATACAGAGTATTTGGGTGAGTACTTGTACTCACCCAAATGCTCCGATACCTACCCCCGATACTGGAACTTCCGGTAAGAGGGAGATTTCCTCTGACCATCAGTGCCGTGAGGGAACATAAAGCTGGCTTTCCAGCCAATCAGGATGCCAGGTGGCAGGCAATGACTCACCGACCGTCTTCCTGATTGACCAGGAAGCCGACTCCATGGTGCTTGGCCCGCTCCATGCTGATTGGCTTGGAAGCCGGCTTTCCAGTCAATCAGCATGGAGCCAGCCAAATAGCATGGAGCCGGATTCCCGGCCAGTCAGGAAGCTGGCCGGCGAGTTATTAAGTGATGCCTGGCTGCCTGATTGGACAGGAAGCCGACTCCATGCTCTCTAATGGCACTGCCAGGCAAAGGAAATTTCCCTCTGACCCGAAGTTCCAGTATCAAGGAAGGTATCAGAGCACTCACCCGAATACTCGGTATCTGCACCGATGCCGATATTAAAAATGTATTGGAAAATCTGTCATTCACAAACTAATTTGTGGAATGATTTCCATGCAACGGAAATTATACTGGTTAAATGTTTGAAATTTAATTATCGTTTCCAGGATGGAAAAAAATACACTGGGCATAAAAAGCACTATAGTGATTATTATAGATCACTTTTATTTTAATTCATGATATAATAAATCATTGAACGATAGTAGTAATAGTTGATCAAACTTATGTACTGGACATTTTCCAATATGGCGAATCAAGTGATGATGTGCAATGTCCAATCACACATTACCTCTTAGCATGATCGATCTACTTTGCCTTAATCAACAATCCTGGCAACCTGACAGATTCAATACCGGAACCAACAGCTCATTGCTACAAGCTTCTGAAAATGTCCCAATTTTCCTACTTCCAAAGTTATAGATATTCAAAAACATGTGAATTATATTCTGACATCTAATTTCTTGATCTGTGGGAGGAAGATGAAGGATCTATTATGCAGATATATTTTTCAGGTTGCAGAAGAGTTTTTTGCCTCTGCACTTCCCTAGTATAACATTTTGAATCTCAGAAGCATGTAAATCAGTAGAGTGTCATTTTATCCTGCAAAGAATACAAATCTCTTCATTCTTTTCTATTCTCTGGGGTGCAGTCGTTAAGCTGTGGGTTTCTCTGCAGGGTGTGATATATTGGTTTCATACAGTACTATAGCATGCAGCAATTTTATTCCACAAAATATCATGTGACCAGGCTAAGGGAATACACCTTGGGGGTTAACAGTACCTTAGAGTCCACAGTTGTGATTAGATAGGTAAACAAGCATTATGACCTATCAGGTATTAAACGGCATCTGCAATATAAGTGAAGGCCATTTTGAGCACAGGTTGGTCATGTGAAATAGATATAGGGGTATGTTTTTGATTGCTTCTGTTTTAATTCTTAAAAGAGGTGTTCATGTTGGAATACTAACCCTAAAAAATATACACAGCTTTTGAACTCATCCTGGCCTTACCATTATGCAATTGGCTGTCCCTGAAGCTTTACCCCTATAATGGCCGGTATCTGCACACATTAAAGCTCATCTGATTTCTGCAGTGCATCACTGCATGCACATTAATGTGCCTTATATTGCGTGTTATCATGCATTTTAATGGGCTGCCAAGGCATCACAATGCACCAAAAATTTAAAAAATAAATGTAATGCCCAGCAACGCAATGGTGGTGGGGGCTAGCAATGTTCATTGGGGCTAGCAAGAATCATTGGGGTGGCACTACAACACATTAAACAATTGATTGTGCGTTACAGAACATTAAAACATAAATTATCGCAATATATAGGTGTGAAATAGACCTTAATGTAAGAACTCCTTGCTTTCTCTAAATTTCTCTGAATGAAGAAAATATCTTACCGTTTGTAAAGGGTTTGGGGACCTTTCTTCATCAATTTCTGTTGGTGAAATAAAAAAAAAGCGTCATTCAAATATATTTTCTATACATTAATAAACATATTAACACTTGTGGGTGTGAATATAGTGAAAATAATTGTGTCAGTTGACTGCATGAGGCTGGCAGTAATACTGATTGGGAAAAAAGGCTCTGCTTGACCTTGCTTATAAACAGCCAGGAAATTAAAGGACCCAGCATTTTTGGTAACTGGTTTATAAGGGAAAATTAGGAGACCTCCCTACACATACCCAATAACGGATGTAGAGGTCAAATGAAGAAAAGCTCCTCTAAGGGTCACAATTACAATCAGATTGCCACGTGTATGGAAAACCTTGGGTTTTAAAGAACTTTATATTGGGGTGAGGTAAGTGTAATTATGTATGTTACACTTACACTTACCTCTAGTTCCAGAACCTTCCCCCTAGAAATAATGGGGAGTCAGGTAATGATGGACCCCCCCCCCCTGGGTAGATCATACAGAAGATGACACTCCTGGCCAGTGTGATGTGCAGTCACAAACTGTACTGTGTGACAGAAGACAGTAGCACATCCAATGCCCCAAATAGTTTTCTATTAACAATTTCACCATACAGGTGTTAGTACCAATCTAAAGTTTTGGACTTAAGGACCATCTTCATAGAGTATTTTCCCCAACAAAACAGATTTTGGAAACTGTTGGCAAAATACGATTGTGCTGTTTCTCCTGAGACTGTACACAACTCCCTGTACACTAGACCAACTGTTCTTTATAAAGAACTGAGCTGTCAAGACTATAAAGATATTGTTACCAATCTGAATACACAGTGTGCATATGTCCAGCATTACCTTTTTAGCACTATCACTCCCTTATTAAAATGTATTTATTTTTCCATAGAAAAAACCTTTTTAACTTAATACTACAGGTAATAATATGTGTCATAGCAAAGACAGCATAGACACTGCTGGATCCAATGTCAAACTCATAAATTCAAACATAGAAGTTATTATGCATTGGCATAACCGACTGGCAACAGAGAATTTTCAGGTCTTGTGTAGACAGGTTTGGTTTCCTGCATTTGATGTGCATTTCAAATGCAAGTAAGCATATTTCAATTTACCAAGGTGTAGTATAGATGACAGTTCTAAAGTTGTGTTTGAGCTGCCGGAGGTCCTATTGAAATGTGTTGCATTGCATGCAGTAGGTCAAATGCAGTGTTTTACCTCCATTGGAATGTAAAAGACAGTGTCTGACAACAACCATCTACACATGCCCATTCATTCCATGTGTACCATACTATCAGCAAACAGCAACTTCCAAATTCTCTGTATTCAGGTGCAACTATGCCCAAAGTCTGCATCGTATCAGAAAGTTACAAAATGCTGTGATAAAAAAAAACTCAGTATAGATTCAATATTAGTAGAGAACTATCTTATAGAAATGTAACTATATAAGTACAAATGCACATGCAACAGTTTGAAAAAGACCATTTTGCCAGAACATCCCCATTGCTATAAACAATCAGTGATGGAGCAGTTGGTTTGAGCTAGATCTAAGGATATCAGACTGTGATTAATCTAATCCCTTTATAGGAGAAATCCCACTTTTTACTGAATACAAAGCTCCATCTGTAGCAATAAGATGCCAAGTATATTAAGCCCATCACAACAACAGAGGCATCAAGACTTATGAGCACATCAGTCTATCAAAGAGAACAGCATGATGTGCCAATGCAGAGAAAATCTTATGTACAGTACATCTGGTGGTGGACAGCAAAAACTGTTTTATTATAATAGCAGATACTTTTTAAAAGTCATATTACAGTTTAAAGAAAACTGTCATGAGAGAAATATGTGGTCTGCCATTGCTGACCCCCTTCTAAAAGTTCTAGCTGCCTAGTTTCCATGCTGGTCTCCTGATAACAGTGGTTTCAGAGTTGCTAATCTAGAACAAGAAAGCCGAAACTCCTCATTTGAATACCTACCTATCCCAGGTCAGTGATCCAAGGAGTATTGCAGCTACAGCATCAGCATTGTAGGCAAGCAAGTAGAATTTTTCAGATGTTGGCAATGGCAATCCACTTATTTTTAACATGGCAAGTACACGTTACTGCAACACAACAGTGGGTAACACATTTCTACTATGTATTGGTGTCAAATTTCATTTCAAACATCGTTTCATCTTGCTGTTCAACACTGCGGTCATGCTTTACAAACACCTTATGTTTGATCACCTTTATTTTTGAAGACTGATTTCAACAGTGAAAAGGCCACAGGTGCACAGTGGATGATAGCCAAATTTAATTGGCTGCCTTCCTGTAATGGCCCTGCAATTAGTCACGATTAAGTCTCCATAAACAAATTGCCCTTGCTTGCTGAAGGCTACAAGACGTGCAGGTGCAATGTCATTAGGCCAGCTCTCTGTCTCATGTGTATTTCTGACATGTGGTACGGACATTAACAGGTACTTATAGCCAATACCACATACTGATTGATTTAGTGTAATTAACATATGCAGTGTGGTGGGAAATGTTTTCATACTGAGGTATACAAAGGTAAGGATAGGTTTGCTGAAATATTTTGGTAGAGACAGCATAGAGCACAACACCCTAATGCCTTTCCTTTGCTTTGTAATTAGAATGAATTTGTATAAACAATGAAGATAAACCCAAACAACTCCATCCACTTAAACAAGACAGCATAAGTCACGCAAGGTTGTTCTAGAGGCTTGGTCAATCATTTTCTATGTTGTTCATTGTTTGAGCCCTGATCTGACCAACTGCTAAAAGGATATGTTTGTAATCATTATGTGCTTGTCTGATTTACAGTCCATTCTCCTAATATGGATTTGTGTGTTATGCATCGGATTTTAGTATATGAAACCAGACATGGCCTGCAGGCAGTCTATAATTACCAGTACAGATATCTATTTATTGATCAATACAAACATTTTTAATACCTTTAGGTTTCCTGATATATGAGCCCTTCTAATATGCTGTCTAGTGTCTTAGTAGATCATTATAGAACGTATAGCGCTGCGTAAATTGTTGACGCTATATACACTGAGTGGCCAGATAATTATGACCACCCCATCAGTACTTCATTGGGCCATGAGATGACTCCATGAGATGACTTTGTTGGGCCGCCTCGTGACTCCACGAGATGTTGAACGGTGATGCAAGGAATCTGACACTGCACTGTTGCCCTTCTGTTGTCTTGTAGCAGTCTTGCCACTCTCCGTTCTGCCCTAACATTGACTAGTCGCTGACGGCCACAATTCACACGTTCAGACCCAGATTTTTGGCTGACAGTCCAGTCTTTAAACACTTTAACAACAGCTGCTCTTGAATATTTAACGAATTCTGCTGTTTTGCTGATACTCGCTCCATGGCTTGAGCGCCAACTATCATCCCACGTTCAAAGGCTGTTAAATCGCGTTGTTTACCCATATCTTCAGAAAAAAAATCACTTCTACTGTTGTGGTAAACAACCTGCTTCCCTATTTATAATGGTCTGGCCCTCTAGCAACTTCAGCGCGAAATTATAGCTAATTTGCCTACAAACGTCAGGTGGTCATAATAATCTGGCCACTCAGTGTAAATCCCAATAATAAATAAATAAATATAGTTCATTCAAAATTTAAAATTAAAGTGTAGCTAAACCTTATCAATTAATTTCTATGTGCAGCCTTCTGTTAAAGGAGAACTATAGGGTAAGTGTTTTTCCCCATAGTTCTCCCAAGGGTCACGGAAGGACACAAACTAGCGTCCTCCCATGACCCAAAGCTCAGTATACTGCAAGCTACAGCTTGCGGTATACTGAGACAGATTACTGTCGAGATCCACCCAGCTGCGTGATTAACAGCTGGCTCTGCCTATCTAAAGGCAGAGTCAGCTGTACCCGCCCCCTCCCCCGTCCGTTCCGCCAGTCAGCGCTGGAAGATCGGAGCAGGGAGGGGGGGAATCCCTGCAGGGAGCCGTGAGTGACAGTCACAGCTCTCTGCAGGGACATGATCAAGAAGTGAGCGAGCGACGGTATGTGTTTGCTCACTTCCCGATCTATTGAGCCGACGTGTGACAGTTTCATTGTCACAGGTCGGCTCGAACTATGAGTTTAGTGAAAATCACTCACCTCATAGTTCTCCTTTATATATGTAAAGGGCCTGAAAGGGTTCAATATTTGTACAGAGCAGAGTCTGTATGATTCCGGCACTGATTCCTGTGATTGGTACCAAAAGAGCTGTGAGCTGTCAGTTGTGGCTACACCATGAACTGAGAGTTCTGTTTCTTCTATTATAAGGGCTAGATCTTCAGTCTCCAGGAGCTGTCATTAAGTGCTGGACTTTTTTGTAAGACAGCCCACCAAACACTACACTCACACTCATGAAAGCACCGTATATATCAAAGGTGCATGTGTAAAATAACGACTTTATACCAATAAGAAAAATAATGATATATCAGTTTATAAATGTAAACAGTTTTAAAAATGATTTAAAATAAAATTGCCCAAAAAGCATTTAATCTGCTAAAATATTGCAAAAATAATAAACAAATACTGTATGAAGTAGCATAGCAGAAAAGGCTGTGCAGAGGCTGTGTATGTGATTCATATGGTTATTGGATAACAGTTTAGGATTTTCATCAATATTTTAAATAGCTTCACAATTCAAATATAGTCAAAAGAGTGTTGCCAAATCTAAGCAAAGCTAATTAAAAATGTATTAGGTCAGGGCTTTTAAGATGTCACTGGATTGTAACTAGACAGACTGCAAATTTATTTACCTGAATACTGTCTCTACATAAAAATGTAGAGACACTGGGGCCCATGGCAACCAATCAGCTTGCATCTTTTATTTTCAAAACTTAACTGGGCAAACTGAAGAGAAAAGCTGATTGGTTTCTTTCGCAACTGCTCCAGTTTTTATGAATTTCCCCCCTATAGTATATAGCAAGGCTAGCCAAACTTCGACCCTCCAGCTGTGGTAAAACTATACATTCCTTCAAGCATCTGTCTCTGGTAGTCATG